ATTTTATGCAATTATTTTTGTTGTTGTTTCACTATTATTTTTTAGTTTTACGTTATTCTTTTTTTAAATTCTTCAAATTTCATTTCCCACTCACCAAACTTGCTCTCCTGTCCCATGCGCACAACTTGAGAGAAAGCGAGTACGCGTACGCCGTCCTTGAAGCCCGTTGTGTCGGTCTTATGCAACTGATCTTCCATGTAGATAACGGTGTTTACATTGGGGCATTTATCCAGCAACTGCTTGAATTTGGGCAACAGCTCGTGCGACGTAATCACTGTGGTGACTTCCGTTTCGCTGATGCCTATATGAAAACAACAACAACAAAAAACATTAATTGCGCCACAAAACTTCTACAAGGCAAGGTATATACTCACAATGTGCCACGCCATCATCGCCTAGTGTGGCATATACAGTTACAATGGACATCGCCTGCTTGAAGCAACCATGCGCCGCAATCATCCATTCGGCGCGCGTCTCCGCAAAAATAACAATATTCTGTCGGGCGCTCTGACCACATTCGCGCAAGCCGCGACCGAAGGACGTAGCCATGCGATCGGTCTCAATGAAATTCTTCCACTTATACTCGCCCATATTGTACTTCTTGAAGATGCGTCCATTCGGTTGCACCTCATCCTCTTCGCTGAGGATTTGGCGAGTGCCCAGGCAACGTTTGTTCGAATGCACCTTAGCCACATAGTTGAACATCTTCTCCAGTGTGTCGATGTTATTTTGCAGCATCTTCACGTGTACCTCGCGGGGCGGTTCAATAGTGCGATAGGTCAACGAATGCTCATCGGAACTGACAACACGCGCCTAAAAGACAATAACGAAAGAAAGTTAGTATGGTATATAATTTATTTTTAATTGAGGCTTTGGGTAAACAGGTGTGAGATAGCCAGTGGTTTAGTTATGACCGCCTGCTTTTGGAACCCAGTGTAATTTTATTTGTTTTTGCAAATGCTTAGATATACAGTTATAGGAAAAAAATAAGCGCGTGTGAGTAAGGTGAAGGAAAGTTGTATGCTGTGATTGAAACTTGCTGTGTAAATTTGGTGAAGTAGTCAATGTGCCTAAACGTAGACTTTTACACGAGAATAAAGTTTAACCGCTTTCAAAATAAGCTAACAAAATCGAACTTTTAAAAAGTTGCTTAAATTTCGAAAAGGAAGCCTTTGTGATGATTAGTTATTAATAAATTTAACTAAATAAAATCTTTGATGACTAGGTCATAAAGGCGCCTGAAAACGAATATTTCAAAAAATATTTTCGAAAAAATACTTAATAACTTTAATTTAAAAAATGTATGGCAAAAAAGTAGAATTATCCAAAAAAAAAATTAAATTTTAGTTTCAAGTAATTTTAATTTTAAAAAATTT